TTTATTTATACGTTTATGTTACTGGGACTTGAACCCAGGGACACTTCACCACTGAGCTACATCCCCCCCCCTTTTTTTTTTGAGAAAGGGTCTCTCTTAGTTGCCTAGGCTAGCCCAGAATTTGTAATCCTCCTGTCTCAGCCTTTGGAGTTGCTGGGATTACAGCTGTGCACCACTATTCCAGCACCTTAATAAAGTTTTATAGGAATAAAGCCATGTGTATTCATTTTGCATTGTCTATGGCTACTTTCAAGGGACTGAGCAGTTACAACATACAATGTGGGGCCAGCAAAGTCTGCAATGTTTACTACCTGGCCTTTCACAGAAGACTCAACCGACTCCTGAACTAGAGATACAGTAGAGGGATGTTTTGAAGGATAGGTAAATAACAACCAAAATATCCTCAGTAATTCGTAATTCGAAAGTTATTGGAGAATTCAAAAGATTTCTGATGCATAAAGGGGCATAATCAGGATACCAATGGTTCCCAAATTTAAAGGTTTGACCTAAGATATTTTGATTTTATGAAGGTATAAAAATAATATGCTTTAGTAAAAAGCACACTTCTAATTTTGAATTTTGATCTTTTCTTAGACTAGTGATATATGGTATGATAATCTTGAGATGCTGGGTAGTGGCAGGAACCCCTAGTCACTCAACACAATCCTGAGAGGGCACAAGCAATGCTTCACCATGTGCTGTGTTTCTCGGCTGTGATGACCACTGGCTAAGTGTATTAAATGCATTTTTCACCTATGGTATTTTCAACTTACAGTGGGTTTATCAGGCCATAACCCTAGCTTAAGTCAAAGAACTCTATATTAGGTTTTTTTTTTTTTAAGATTGCAAAGGAAAGAATTTCCCAGTGGCCTTCTGTAATGACAATTTATTATAAGGTCACTAAAGGAAGCAGAATATTACCAACACTATCTTAGGGAGAGTAGAGAGTAAATCTATTCTGGATCCCAGAAATTTCAAAGCTCGAGGAAAGTAACTAATCTACTCCAAGACTCATTGTGACCTCAAGGGATCCACCAAGACAGACTATCTGCTAGGGCTGATTCATGGTGGCTGGTGTCCTGCCTGTCCCCAATCAAGACAATGGCAGAAGAGCAGGCTGCATCATTCTCAACACTCGGAACAGCAACCCCAACAACTATTCAAGAACTGTTTGAGGGCACTTTACTTTGAAGGGAAATGTGGTTATACACTGTAGCCACTTAGTACTCTAATGATCCTTTCCCAGTGTTAGAGTGGAAGGACTGCCCCTGCCCATGGGCCCTGGGACTTCCTCAGGTGAGATATTCATTGTGGCCTCAGGGAGGTCTGCACCTCAACATCTTTGCTCTAGCTGCCCTGCTCTAGACCTCACAGCTACACCACCCATCCTGTTGGCTCAAAGCATTCACAGGAAAGCACAAGTTCCAGCTCAGCATTCTAATTGAGTCTCCTTAAAGCTTTGTCCATTTTATTTCTGTAATCAGTACTTTTTCCTGCAGCTCTCTGTGTCTTTTTCTGCTGGTACTTTTGTTCTTTTCTGAAAGGAATAGGAATGAAAGAGACAGGGAGTAACAGAAAGGGAAAGATAGATGGAAGGAAGGAAGGAAGGAAGGAAGGAAGGAAGGAAGGAAGGAAGGAAGGAAGGAAGGAAGGAA